ATCTCATTGAAAAAGCGGGAAATGAGCTACAAAGTAATGTCAGTGTTTTGGCACGTGAACACGTGCCAATAACAATAGAAGATTGGAGACATAAAGAAAATAAAGATAACATGAATCGAATTTGCCATGATTTGGTTCAAAGTTTCATGGTTCCAGAGACTGCAAAAAAATACGAGCTTACTTGAGCGGTGAAGATGGCTCAAGACTTTAGGTTGAACCTATTCACGACCGTTGTAAAGCCATTAAAGGATAGTCCCAGAGAAAGTGGCTCGAAACTACCCTTCAATTAGCCCGGAGCAATGGAGGAAGTTTGTGAAGTATAGACTTAGTAATGATCGACATGCCGTTTTCAAAGGAGCCTCTAAGAGAAGAGGATCATACAAGTACCCGCATGGGAATGCTCGGGGGATATAGGAAAGTAGAGAAAGTTTATATAAGTCTTCAATTACTTTTTTTAATGATATTAATTACTTTTCGTTTGCATTACAATCTTTAATATATTTTTTAATTGAATCCAGATGCGAATACATAATACTACGAAAAAGCCAGATCGAGCCACTTTATGACAGTTCATACGCAAAAAACCAAGAAGAACTTACAAAATTATGGGATGCGAAGAGATCGGCAAATTAATTGTGAGTTATTGTTTTTCTTTTAAATATTTGTTTGATCAATGAGAAATATGCCAAGAAATTTATAATATTTTTTGTTCTAAGTTTTATAGGACCAATATGTCGAAGAAGAGTCCCAAGAAAAGTTTTAATTTCAGGAGACTGATGATGTGCTTACTAGATCATTGGGAAACTCAGAACACTCTAGTCGTGTTTTGGGTAATCCTAATTTGTCAAAAAGTCGACTTATTTTCATTCCACTGGTAGATCAACAAGGGACAAGAAGTTGGCAATGCTGCGTAAAAGGGTAGAAATAATGGAGGCCAGATGGGAAGTAATGCAATCATCCCAAGGCCATACCCTAGCACTAGTTAGAGTGTAACACTCAATTAAATTAATTGAGATTAATTAATCTAATCCAGTGATTAGGGTTAATTAGTCCGAGATTAGTAAAATATTTTCAGTTATAATTGTTACGTAAAAAAATTTTCTCCTTTAAAAAAGATATTGACATTGTTGTTTTTTTGAATTTTAAAGTGTTAGTAGCTAATTTTTTAAAACAGAAATAAAGCAAGCCACGTCTTTTGGTTGAAGGTTAAAGCCTTGAAAGAGGAAGTGGAATAAGGAGCAGTTTGGGAGGGTGGACTTGAGTAAAATAGAAGCTTTGGAGTGACCGCAAACTATTACGACAGAGCAATCGACATTCTTAGTTCAATTGAACTTGATAAGATCCTCCAAGATTTCAGTAACACGAACCGATGCAGAGAAATCAAGCAAGTCATTCGTTATTACCAAGATTTGAGTGAGACCCAATTGATCATAATCAGAGATCTTCTCAGAGTCATGCTGACTCTCAAATCCCAAGCTCCTCGCAGAGGAAATCGATCATGGCTACTACTGTTTCTTCTTCTATTTCTTCAATTTCACCCAGAAGAGTCCACTTCAAATTTTAATTAGATTGAATTTTGAAATTTAATTAGTAGATCCGCAAAAGTCCAAACTCATTTTTTTTTCCTTTTTCTTTTCGTTTCTCTTTCTTTTCTCGTTTTTCTTTTCCTTCCCCGATATTTTCTCCCATTCCCTCTTATTCTCGAACTCTCTCTCCTCTACCCGAACGCACTCCTCTACCCGAACTCTCTCTCTCTCTGTCTCTCTCTCTCTCTCTCTCTCTCTCTGTGTCTCTTCTTTCCAAAAAATGTTCTTCAATTTCAAAACTCCATAACTCACTCGTTTTTAATCGGAATTGAGTGATTCTTGTTTCTATGAGTTCGCAGCGAAGAAGAGAATGAGATGACATCCATATTGAATATGGAAATCCATCATGCGCGGTAGTTCACTGGCACTCCGCCGCCGTCCATGCCGTGAGCCGCCACTTCCGGTGGTGGTTGTCCACACCACCCGCTTCAAAACGTTGAGGACGACGTCGAGATGCAAAGCCTTAAGGAAATTTATAGGAAGGAGCTTCTATTTTTGAGGTAGGGTTTTCTTGTTCAAAAGTTGATTTACTTTTCCCTTGATGTTTTAATCCGAATTTATTCATATTTTTTTCCCTTGTTTCAATCTTTGTTGTGGTTTATGATATTTTGGTTTAACATGTGTATGTTGACTTTGCATATAGATAAATTGATAAACTCTTGAAATTTAGAGAGCATTGATACGAGAGTTGATATTTGATATGTTGGACCCAATGGAAATCCTTTATTTAATTGAAATCTCGAAATGTTAGATTTGTGTAACATAGTTTGGAGATATAAATATGAGGTTAGAAGCATGTTTAACCTACTCTTTTGCATGTATTGGAGTTTTGGATTGTAAAGAGAGCATTTAGGACAAATCTATTGATTTTGGGTTTAGTGCAAGTATGATGTGAGTAGTTATTTTAATTAGAAAATTACAATTTTTTTTTAAATCCTAAAGTTGCATTGTATATTTGTATATGATCTGTATTGGTCGGCATTGTCCCTGAGATGTGTAAAGTTTAAATTTGTGCTGTTTTGATATTATTTGTAAAGGAAAGTCTTCAGAGCAAAATATATTGATATTTAGGTAATTATTCTGTGATTTTCGTTGAACAATCCAGTTTAATTAAGTTATTTTTTTTAATTAAATTTCAATAATCACGGTCCCATCTTCGGGGTCGTGAGATTTTGGTATCAGAGCACGACTTTGAATTCTATGGGAATTAAACCTTTTCTACTGAGTCTTTTCATTATTTTAACAGTTTTGTGTCGGGACGTGTCGTACAATACTAGTTAATACATGATACAATTACTTTTGAGAATTTGACGTTAGAGACCGTTTCATTTTCATAGAGCACTTTGATGAATGGAATACATGTTTCTATTATCGATGTTTATCGATCAAGATTTGCTAGAATCCAAGTTGTCGCGCTCCATTGACTTAAATCTTTACGTTAAACGGGTTGAGAGGTGGAAAAGAGCAATATCGATATTCAAACTATACGAAAGTAAAAACAAATGTCCTTTTCAAAACCGAAATTCTCGTAAAAATTCTAAAGTCAACACTAACTTTGAATTCAAAAACTTACAACCGGGGCCGAACCGGGGCGGCCCTGGGGCCACCCCGGGTCCGTACCGCGGCCGCCCCGGGGCCAAACCGGGGCCGCCTAGGGGCCATACCGGGGCAGCCCCGGGGCCGCACCGGGGCCGAACCGGGGCCTTACCGGGGCCGCCCAGGGGCCATACCGGGGCCTCGAATGAGGCGAGTGGTCCCATCTTATTGAGATTGGAGTTCATTTTTTTCTCATTGAGTGGAAAGTACACAGAGATGAGAATTTGTCCATCTTATGTATAAAAGGCGTGATTGTGGAGAAATCATGAGTTGACAAGTGACAAAATTGTTAACGCCATTCATTTTCTGGCATTTCTCTGTTGCTGATTTCTCAGATTAAGCCGCTACCCATGTTTTATTCCAATTCCGAGGACAGAATTTCTGTAAGGGGGTAGGGTTGTAACACCCGGTTAAATTAATTTAGATTAATTAATCTAATCTAGTGATTACTGTTAATTAATTCGAGATTAGTAAAATATTTTCAGTTATAATTATCATGTAAAAGATTTTTCTCCTTTAAAAAGGATTGTTTTGGAATTGACGCTATTGTTTCTCCCAAACAATTTTAAAGTGTTAGTAGCTAATTTTTCAAAACAGGAGTGATGAGCCACTTTAGATTTTTAGACTCAACTTCGAAGTCTAATTAGTAGATATGCACTGAAAGTCCAAGCCCATTTATCTTTTTTCCCTTTTTCTCTTCCTTTTTTTTCTTTTCTCCTTTTTCTTTTCCTTCCCCGATATTTTCTCCCATTCCCTCTTATTCTCGAACTCTCTCTCCTCTACCTGAACTCTCTCTCTCTCATCTTTCCAAAAAATTTTCTTAAATTTCAGAACTCCATAACTGCCCAACCCTCTAGCAAGTTCTCTGCAAACCAAAGTTAATGAAAAAAATGAAAAATCTAAAACCCACAAGTATACGAATCAAATCTTTGGCCTTGCTCACTATTTGATCTTCGGTTTTCACTGATCTTTGGATTTTGTCTGTTTAGAATTCTCAGTTTTTTATTTTTATAGAATTTTGTCTGTTTAGAATTCTCAGTTTTTTATTTTTATAGACGAGAGATTCTTACACACTGGGTTCAGTTTAATTTTTGAGCTTTTCATCGAGCTCTTCCTTCGGATTCCTCAGGTTAGGTCTTGTTTATTCGATTAATTTAGTGGATTACCCAGATGTCTAAAACTCTAAAACTTGCTTACTAGAGCCAGGGAAGTTTAGGCAAATGGTTTTATGTTTCATTTACCAGGTCCAGGTTATTTAAAATTTGATAAAGATTGTTTTTAGAATTGCATTTGTATGTTTGTCACCATTAATTGCATGTTAGTACTCAATATGACAATTGACTTTGATTATACCGGCGTCAACAATTTGGTGTCGTTATTCTGGAAAATTTTACTTTAGCTTCTTTATTGCTGGTGTTTATACTTTCATGCTCAAATGTTTTAGACAACAGAGTTTAAATGTCCTAATTTGGTTATTTTATTGTAGGATAATGGCTCGCTTAGACAAAAGTGAAACTTTGAGAAAGAGGAAGATAGTTGCTTTGTTTTTACATTGGTTGAATATTATGCATGTAGTGCAATGGTTCTTTCAATTGATTGAAAGAGTAGTGATGAAGGATTTAGAATCAAACTTTGTGCAGAGACAACTTTATGTGCTTGACGTGTTTGTTCATAGGCAATATGTTCATCAACTAGCTTTTCATTCAGAAACTTGGCCAATGAACGATGGCGATAGGGCCGAAGTTTCAGGAACACCAAATCCCCCACGTCGAACGAGACATCACGACGCTTAAGATCTGCGTTCCTCTTCATTGAATGTTACGCCTGAAGCAAGTGGCCTTGCAGCTCCTCTAAAATAGCATCCCTCATTTGCAATTGCTCCTCCAACAAAGAGTTAGCTGTGGAACCCAACTCAAAACGCAGCAATTTAGGAGGGTCACGACCATACAATGCCCTGAAAGGAGTCATTCCTGCGGACACATGGAAGCTTGTGTTATACCAATATTCGGCCCACGCTAGATAAGAAAACCATTGAGTAGGTTTCCCAGAAACAAAACAGCGTAAATAGGCCTCTAAGCACCAATTCACCACTTCCGTTTGCCAATCCGTTTGAGAATGGTAAGCCGTACTATGATGTAAAACAGTACCCTGCAACTTAAAGAGCTCCTTCTAAAAATGGCCGAGGAAAACTTTGTCGCGGTCGGACACAATAGTCCGTGGGAACCCGTGGAGTCGCACCACCTATTTACTAAACAGGGCAACCACTGACTTTGCAGAAAAAGGATGGCGAAGACCCAAAAAATGTGCATACTTACTCAACCGATCAACAACCACTAAGATTGAGTCATTTCCCGCCGACTTGGGTAAGCCTCCACAAAATCCATCGAAATCTCATCCCATACCTGGTTCGGCAGTGGCAATGGTTGTAATAGCCTCCTCAGGAGCCAAGGTAGACGCCTTGTTTTGTTGACACACTTGACAAGCTGCTACAAAAGAGACTACATCCTTTTTCATGCCATACCAAAAGAACTCGGAGGACAATCGTTTGAACGTCTTTAGGATTCCCGAATGTCCTCCAACCTTACTGCCATGGAATTCATTCAAAAGGACCGATAAAAGAAGAGATAGTCGAGTCAGGACCACCCGACCCTTGCAAAGCAACATGTCATTACATAAAGAGAACCCCTTCACCCCCAATGGATTGCCCAGCAACTCCTTCCGAATTCCTGCCAACTTCAGATCACCCAAAAGTTGCTGCCGAATTTCAGCTCCATCATATAGCGCGGAAGTGGTAAGGTGCATCAACTCCAACCCCGAAGACCGCCTGGATAAAGCATCAGCCACGCGGTTCTCGGACCCTAGCTTATATTGGATCTCAAAATCATAACCCAACAGTTTGCACAGCCATTTCTGGTGCTCTTCCCCAACTAATCGCTGCTCCAACAAAAATTTTAAACTTCTCTGGTCAGTGCGGACAATGAAATGCCGCCCAAGGAGATAATGTCGCCATTTCTGGATTGCCAACACCACAGCCATTAACTCGCGCTCATAAACGGACTTAGCCCTAGCTTGAAGAGATAATAGCTGACTAAAGTAGGCTATAGGCCGCTGCTGTTGCATTAAAATCGCGCCAATCCCAAAACCCGAAGCATCGGATTCTACCACAAATGGTTGTGAAAAATCCGGTAATGCTAGAATCGGAACTGTAGTCATGGCTTGTTTCAATCTTTGGAAAGCAGCCTCAGCCTCTTCCGACCAATTAAAACTGTCCTTCAATTGTTGTGTCAATGGCCAGGAAAGATGGCCATACCCTGTCACGAAACGCCGGTAATAACCGGTCAAACCCAAAAATCCACGCAACTCCTTAATAGAACCGGGAGTGGGCCAATCCAACATAGCTTGAATCTTGTTGGAATCGACCGAAACCCCATCACAAGAAACAATATGACCCAAATACTCCAATCGACTTTGGGCAAAAGTACATTTTTTTTAGTTGACGTATAATTGGTTATCTTCCAAGGCAGTCAAAACCACTTCCAAATGACCCACATGTTTCTCCAAGGTTTTACTGTAAATCAAGATATCATCAAAAAAGACTAAAATAAACTTCCGCAAGAAAGATTTTAGTACCTCATTCATCAAAGATTGAAAAATGGCCGGAGCATTAGTTAGCCCAAAAGGCATAACCAAAAATTCATAATGGCCCTCATGAGTGCGGAAAGCTGTCTTAGGAACATCCTCCACGCACATACGAATTTGGTGATAGCCTGATTTCAAATCCAGTTTGGTAAATATAGTGGCACCAAACAATTCATCCAATAACTCTTCAATCGCCGGTATGGGAAACTTATCCGGAACTGTAGCTTTGTTAAGAGCGCGATAATCAACGCAAAAGTGCCAACTACCATCTTTTTTTTTAACTAGAAGCACTGGACTAGAAAATGGGTTGTTGCTTAGTTGTATGATCCCGGCTGCAAGCATCTCTCATACCAGCTTTTCAATCTCATTTTTCTGAAAATGGGGATACTTGTAGGGTCTAACACTAATAGGGGCAGTGCCCGGTTGAAGCACAATACGGTGATCATGCATACGTTGAGGTGGGAGTCCATCCGGCATATTCAAAACCCTTGGATGAAGCTGCAATAGTGCACTGATCTGGGCAGGAAGTGGCTGGTCTGGTTCCCTTTCCATGTCTAGCGCCTCTAACTCCAAATAGATGCCTTGTCCCTCATGTTTAATGGTCCAAAACATCGCCTTAAGGGAAACCATAGAAGTGGAGAGAGTCATGTCACCACGCAATGTCACCACTTCCCCCCTAATTCGAAGCTTCATCAATTGGGATTTCCAATTCACATGCATACCCCCCAATGTTTCCAACCACTGCATGCCTAGGATAACATCCACCCCCCAACTCCAATGGCAAAAAGTTTTCTATAATGGTTAGTTGCGGTAAACTCAATGACACTTCATGACAAAGTCCCTGCCCTTTAACCGATTCCCCCGTGCCCACTTGCACTCCAAACCCGACAGTGGGAAAAATTGGAATGGACAATTTCTCTACTAAACTTAAGGAAATAAAGTTGTATGTTGCTCCAGAATCGATTAAGACAATTACCTTTTGTTGAGCAATCAATCCGCGAATCTTCATAGTTTTGGGTGTTGAAAGCCCCACCACGGAGTTCAATGATAGCTCAATAAGCTCGGGCTGTCCCTCATCCCAAACAGTATTTGCCACGTCAATATCTTCCACCAAACATTCCGTGGAGTCCTCATCACTAACCAACATAATTCGGAGCTCCTTCTTCTTACAACGGTGACCAAAAAAAAATTTCTCATCGCACCTATAACAAAGTCCCTTGTCTCTCTTCTCCTGCAACTCAGAGTTCGACAACTTACGAAAAGGAAATTCCCGCTTTTGGTTTTCTGCCCTATCCACATTGGCTGGAGCTCGCTGAGGTCGTTCAACTCTAGGAATTGATATAACAGGGAGGGTAGAAAACTCAGTTCGCGCACCTCCCAAAAATTGTGGCCTCGACACTCTTGATCCTGCAACCTCCCGGCGTAGCAGCTCATTTTTCTCCTCGATTCTCTGGGCAATCTCCATAATTTCGCTTAATCCCTCCAGTTTCAAGAGTCGCAACTCTGCCCGCACTTCCGCCTTTAATCCGTTAACAAAAATGCCCTCCAAAATTTTCTCAGGAACATCTAAGAGTGGGGCTGCAGAAACTTCGAATTGCCTGCGGTATTCCGCCACAGTCCCCTCCCGTCGGATCGCCAAGAACTTCTCGTAGAGGTTTCCAGCCTGCGATGAACGGAAACTCTGTATAAGAGATAGCTTGAACTCCGTCCTCCCGTGAAATGGACGGCGACCATTCTGCCACTGGAACCAAGACAGAGTGTCTCTTTCCAGAGCAATTCCAGTGGTAATCAGCTTCTCCCTTTCTGAGCAGCGATTGATGGAAAAAAATTGTTCCATTCGGAACACCCATCCGTTGGGATCGCCACCACTGAATAAAGGACACTCCACCTGCCGCCGGCGGTATGAAGTCCAATCCTCATTCTCCGGCAACTCGCCCAAAACCCCCCTGTTATCCCCACTCTCGCTGTGTCGCCCTCCTCTGTAACCATCCCCACCCCTGCCACATCTCTGATCGCGGAATCCAGGATTTTCAGGTTCACCGAAAACCCCTCGCCACTCTCCACGACGACCCATCGCACCTTCCCTTGGACCCACATTCATTCCCTCTCGTTGACCCTGACGCTCCTCTTCCCCTCCGTCGCGACAGGAATTCCGCAAATTCCTGAGTTCCACCGGTCGTTCTCCCCCCCGTGCACGCAACCCAAGGGTTTTCGCCGGTAATGGTGCGTTCTGCAGAACCCTAGGATCTATCACCCGTTCCTCGATTCGTACACACGATCCCGCAACTTCCGTCACACGCGACCCCGCGACTACTGTTGGAGCTACTCCGCGCTCTGGCTCCACCGTGGTCGTTGAAGTTCCTGCCTTCTCGGACGTCTTCGTCGGCGCCGCCAACAATTTCATCTGCTCCTCCATAAACCGACGCAGTTCTGTGAGATTCTGAGCCATCTCAGTCCTAACCATTCCGATGCCCTTCTCCATCTCCCCAATACCCTTCTCCATCAAAACCCTAACCTCCTTGATCTCCTTCTCTACCGTTTCGAACCTCTCCTCTGCTTTTCTTGCTGCCATAATTCTCCCAGACGTTGCTCTGATACCAAATTGATAAGTTCAGAGTAACTAGTTCGCGAAATTGAATCAAGAAAAACGAAAGAATGAATCTTTATTGAATTATCAACAAGAACTACACAAACGGTTTCTTGGAAACCGAGAACTCCTCCTGCTCAGCAAAACGCCAAGACTTCCCGATACAGACTCTAATGGTTGCCTACCTCCCAATTCCAGCATGTCCACCTATTTATTTCTGCCCCATCAACTCTAATCAATAATCCCCTGTGCTAACACACACAATAACCCCGTAAGCATATACTAACACACACAATAGCCACGTAAGCCTATACACATATGACCCTATACACTAACAATCCCCTAATCACTTCCCCGACCCTTCCTCACATAAACTTGTCTAAGTAGAGGCTTATCATATTCTCTTCTAGAACTAGCTTTATAATGTCTCTATAAATGAAGAAGGTACAGTAGATATATTTGAGAATGCAGAAGATCCTAAGCTACATTAGCTTTTTCAAATTGAAGGTCTTGGGGTATGCTTGTAAATTGAGTTGATGATGTTCAAAGGCATCCTCAGTTTTTTAGTTTTGTGTTTGTTCCTGACTGATTCAAGTTGAACTGGGATTGTAAAAAAGGAAAGAAGCCAATATTTCATTTTTTTGTTCATAATTGTTGTTTGTTTTGTTTTGTTAGGTTTTGATTTTGTTTAGTGCTGAATTGGTGTTGGTTTTGTATTATTTCAGTTTAAGAGTTTCTCGCAGAGGCTAGAAGATGTTGATGTTGATGTGTACTGAAGCCTCGACAAACTAAGGCTGGGCCATCATAGGGGTTCTCTTTCTTCTGGGATTGCCTTGTAGAATGGAGGGTGTGTTCATATTACTCTAATCATATTAGATTGATATTCGTGCTTTAGGCCCTATATATGATTCGTAAAATATTTTTTTTCTTTTCTGCCTAAAACCGTTCGATCTAGTGGCACCGGAGAGACTTTGGGTGGGATGGGATTTGGGGGTTGTTACAAGTTCGATCCCGTGTTGTATCAAAAAACAAAATAGTTTTTTCCGTCGCTATTATTAATGGTGACGTATATTTGCTATACTCAATAGAGAGTAGTGAACAAGTGTGAAAATATAGCAGTTGAACCATGTCTCACTAAGATTGTACACAATTTGTAAGTTGATTGGTTTTCAACCAGCCAATTAAGGTAGCTCAATTGGTGTTTATTTGGGTGCGAGTTGGTTTTTAATATATTGAGTCCGAGGTCAAGTATCAGTTGATAGTACTTTTTCTTTGACAGGTTTTTGACTTTCCTCATAGAAGCAGTTATGTGTTTCGTAAGTTGGACTTGGGAGAAAAGAGAAAGTTGTTATGTGTCATTGGCTTAGTTTGGTAGAGATTTTGGGAGGCTAAAATCATTTTTTTTTTCAGTTAAAGCTGTTTAATGTGTTTGGTAAACACTTTAAAAACTGATTTTTAGAGAATCTAAAAATAATTTTGGGCTGAAATCAGAAGTAGCTCACTTGCTGTTTCTGCTTCTGATTGTAGATTATGCGACAATCTATCTGACTTCATTAATGAAATTTTAGTTATTCTCAAAATATTCCTGCTAAATCAAAAAAATTCTCAACCCCCTCATTTCTTGCTGCTCCTTCGCCATCTCTCCTCTCTAAAACCGAAGTCTCTCAGCCAAAGCTCTCTCAGCCTCAGCCAAAGCTCTCTCAGCTCCCTCCGTTTATCTTTCTTCTCTCTCTCGGACTCCCTCTCTCCAGATTTCGTAGCTGGCTGAGACCGGATCTGGTTGGAGCTCACCATCTCTACATCTGTAAGTACTTGGTTGGGTTATTGGGTAGCAAAAAGTCGAGTAAAACAACAGATATCTAGAACTGTTTTATAATGGAAAGTACTTGTGCTCAGATAAGCTAAATTCGAGACTGGGATTTATGTTGGTGATGATTTGGGCGTTTTTGATTGGGGATTATGTGCAAATTTGATGATTTTTTGTTTTTTATTGAATTAAATGGTTGTTTCAGGTGAGTTTGAGTGCCTTCGCGTTCTTGTTTTCAGAGCTTGTGCAGTACAATCAGACACAAGTTGACAACATTGCCGAGTTAGAACGGAGGTGATTTAAATTTTCTTGTTTTTATAGTTATTTTCAGCTATAATCTTGGAATTTCGCCTGGGTGCATTTAGAGAATCCAAAAATTTCAACTATATATTTGTTGATTGCTTCTGAAAGTCTGATTCTATTGACTATTGAGTGTCGAGTTTGATATTTATTGAAAACTGAGCAGGTTGGAGGACGCAAGTTATGCGGTTGGTGCTCGAGTTCTAGAACTGCTTTGCCATAGGGATAAGGTACAATAATACTTTGTTGGTGTTCTATTAATGACGTACATAACCCATTCATGACTTTTGGTTTAGTATGGGGCTCTTTGCCCCGTTTTTGTAATCAGTGGGAAATGAAAAGTTGTATTTTGTGTTTTAAAACGTTGGATCTTATAGCTGTCCAATGTCTATAAATTATTCGAGTGTAGCATTCATTTTGCTTGTAGCCTGGTACTAAATACCCACCCTTTCAAAGGGGGAAAAAAAAAAAGTAGTTGTGTACGTAGATTTTTGTTCAAGTTCTTATTTTGGAGCATGAATATACAATATGGTTTGGAAATTATGGGTAAATTGCAGCAATTTAAAACAATATCTCGATGTAATCTAACTGCTGGATCCTTTTATCTTCTATCATGTGCTTAGCATGTGAGTTGGCTGTATGCCATTATCTAGGTTGAAGCTGGAAGAAATTGTACATGAACATGTATGGCTTAGCGACATATTTGAGCACTCCTTTGCTATTTGGCAATGCTATCCTCGTTTGGAAATTTCTTGATTAATGATAAAGTCAAAGATACAGTCATTTTGTCCTCGCTATTGAACATGAGTTCCCACAAGAATAGCTAGGACATGAATTAGAAGCTTTAAAATGTAGTAACGATTAAAATATCAGGTCTTTAAGCATGATTAATAGATAGCCGTTATTAGGATAGGCTGGAGTTGTGATACTAGTGGGGATTTAGAAAGGATAAATACAAAACATCCCGTCTTTGATCTAATTATGGCATTCCACCCTATGTTTTCAGGAATGCTGCACCTATCCCCTACTTTTTACAAACCATGTTAAAAGCCTCCAAAGAAGGGATTTTTTAACACGACTCGATTCCCTCTAGAGGTTTTTAACAAGATTCGTAAAACGTAAGGGATACTTTTAAGTTTTAACATGTTTGTAAAACAAAGGGATAAATGCAATATTGTTGAAAACATAGGGTGGAACATAAACATTTTGAAATAGTGGGGAGGTTTCTGTTATATCCCAATTCAAACTGTGTCTTATACTTTTTAACCTAATATTTCTAGGATAATAACTATATGGCTCTGCGAATAATTTTGTTATAATAACTAGTGCGGGCTTGAGTGGCTTTCAAACTATTTAGTGCTGCTTCTATGAACCCTATTATATTTGTGGTTATCTTTCATCCAATTTTTTTTTTTTATATTTTTTTATTTGTCGTTGTAAGAAGATATCTATAAGATCTCTAGATATTGTTTTCTTTATGTGTTAGTTGCAACCTCTAAGAACTAATATGTCCAAAGTTATTCTTTGTTTGATTAGCGTGCTGCATAATTTTTTTCATTTGAGTTAAGTTTGTAGGTATATACATGTGTATTTATAGGACTTAAGTTTGTATTTGTAAGTATATGTGTGTTTGTAGGTATATACGTGGTGTGTGTGGATATATATGTTTGCAAGAACTATTCCTTTCTGAAATGATATATCAATGTGTGTATTTACGCGCGTGTGTGTGTGGATATCAAGGTGTGTATTTTGAAATGATATTTTCATTTGCTCTTTTTTCTTGTGTATGGGTATCAATGTGTGAATTTGCTCATTTACGTGTGTGTGTGTATGGATATCAATATGTTTGAAATGTTATTTATTTGTGGTCATATAATTAATTATCATTTGGTTTAGCCCGTTTCTTAGCATGAAATTTCTCAACAAATTTATCATATTTTCTTGCAGATTTTTGAGAAGAACCCTACAAAAATTGATAATTATGGTATTTGGTTGCGTTATTAAGACTGCAACTGTCTCTGTCAAGCTTTGCAAGAGAGAGTACAAAACAATTCCACAACTCGAAGGTAAGTTTCCATTAGTGTGCAAGAAGATCAGGCCACCAATTAGGAAGCTGAAGACCACATACAAGGCATCAAGGCCCAACTTGTTTATGTAACTTGGTCATTTGACGATCAAGCTTTTAACTTGTTTATGGAATGTACATTTTTGTTCAATAAATTGATTACTCATTAATGCTCATTTTAGTTGTAATTATATTGTGAATGAAGAAATGAAAAAAAAGAAAATTAATTATCATAAATTTATTGTTAAAAAACTCAAAATCATAGCATTATGTTTTTTTTAAAAGTTAAACAAGTATTTCTAAATACAAAAAATAATTATATATAATTAAGTTTTATACCATGTTTATTTTGGTCATTTTACATACCCACAACAATTCAACCTCAAAATGTATCAAATATTATTATACTGATTTTGGAACCAACACAGCTACTATAATTACAGTTTACCAAACACTCAGTTGTTTCTTGTAACAGCTGTTTTTTCTTTTAACACAGTTAAAAATAATTTTTCTAAAATCTACAGTACTATTAAACTAAGCCATTGTTTCATTGACATCCCATCTACATTGTAAAAATGATTTACTGTCTCAGATAGAGGCTTATGTACATGCCCTGCTTTTATTTGTTAACATAACATCTAGTTTCTCATACTTGCCGGACACATGACTACTTTGGTTATCTTTCGATATTTAATTGCATGAACTAAAAACAGCAGAGGATTTCATTTCTTTTCACAAAGAAATGACACCCTTGGTACAATCATTAACCTTGGTGTTGTTTCACAAAGAAACTATTATGTAAGGACTTCTTTCAGTAGAGCCCATTCTAAGGTATGCTAGCTCGCCCCCTGCTTTTCCTCTTTGGATGCTGGTGTCTTGCATTAGGACATCAAATATTTTAGCTATGGTTTGTTTACAGCATTCCTTGTTTCTATTACTTCTGTTTTCCCCCGATAAATAAGTAACACTATTTTGTTAGGGGCCTGAGATTTGATTTTGCAATTATGAGGAGACTACGATTATTGTATAAGTAGCCCCTTGGGTTAGGTCAAGGGTACTGGTTTTACGTTTTATGTTTTAGGTCATTGTCCCCTACTGTACACCTTTCCATTTATAATTAATAAACTCTCGATATTTCTCTCTAAAAGAGGGAAAAAAACCTCTTGTTTTTGTACTTTTCACTTTTTTTTTTAACTCTTCTTAGTTGGGATGATGTAATGGGTCATTATGATTTGTATTTTTTCTACTGTTTTTGGGTTTTTGTTGTTGTTGTTGTAATTGTCTCTTCAAAGTTTCCTGTGCATTTTATTTATCCCTCATCCTTTGAATTGTATTATTTTTACCATTTCTTAATAAATTTTATGTTTCTTATCAAAAATTAGAAAGAAAAAAAACAATTATTTTCTAAAGAAGACGACAACATTAACCAGTTGTCAAGTTCCCTTACGAAAGGGGAAAGATTATAGTAGGAAAAAAAAACTTGGAACCTCATGCTCGTCACAAAATAAATGAAAAGATTAGAAACCAATAGTTAAAAAATTAGATTGTCATACGACCTTGATTCTTAGCATCTACTTTGTACCCAAATTTAGCAAATGATGGATGTAAAATATTTCATCATTTATAATTCCTAATTTATATTTCATCATTCATCATTTAAAATTCAAGTTTGAAGTTGAAATTTTTAGGACATGAATTTTTAACGTTATGAGAAGACGACAATATACAATTAAAGTTTCCTGTTGTGCGAGCTTCTCTATTTGATTATTTCTTTTCCATGTGGGAAAGAAAAAGCTGTCCTTATGTTTAGATTTAGACAACATGAGCATAAAAACAGAATTCCATCTCACAGAAGAGCAAGCATTTTTGTGAAATTTCACTTGTGAACTTTTGTGGTCATTTCCCTTTTTTTTGTGTTATTTTTCTTTGAAGGGTTACTCAGAAATTGAGGTACTATCCAAAAGATTATGTCCAAGATTTTATGACAGAGGCAGTATCACTCTTGCTGAGAAATGCACCTTTTAATCAGCTTAAACAAGGTATAAATAAGCATGTCATTCCCCATTATTTTAGATATGGTATTTGCCCTTCTCGCAATATTAAACGCTAAGGGGAAAAAAAATCTTGTACAAACTTGCATGTGATGCTTCTCTGAATTTTATATTTTAATATGTATGATTCTATAAACTATCTTGATGCTTAAATGTGTTGCATTTTGATTTCCAACAACATTCTTAAAATTGCGGTATACTTGAGTCTTAAGTGTATTAACGTTTGATGCAAAAATTTTTGTTTAGCTAAAGTGAAGACTAGAGCACTGAACTTGCAAGGAATCAAGATTCCTTGCTATGCAGATATTTTAAGCTTAGATATTTTAAGCTTTAAACCTTTGGGTGTTTTTTATTAGAGGGAATGGAATGGAAAGACCATTATACCTAATTCTCTTGTTTGGTTTATTTTTTAGTTGGAATGGGCTTTTAGTTGGAAAGCCCATTCACTCAATTTGAGTGAATGGACATTCACTCAGGGGCCTATGGAATAACGGGTGCGTTTGGAATTGATTCCAAAACGTTTTTATTTTCTGTACGAAAATGAAAATGAAAACGTTTTTAGTTTCATTTTTGAATTATTTTTAAAAATGCGTTTGGTAGTTTTATTTAGAGATTGATTTCAGTTTTAAAAAAAACTAAAACTGCGTTTGGTGGTTTAATTTTTGAAAACGTGTAATAATATATTAAATAAATAATATTATTAAATATATTAAATAAATAATATTATTAAATATATTAAATAAATAATATTATTAAATATATTAAATAATTAATAT